TGTAGCCTTTGTAGCAGTAATTGCCATATTGTTCGTAATCACCACAGACTGCTAAAATTAATTTGGATTATGTAAGAAGTTATTTAAAACAATGAAAATGAAAGCTTTCATTAGGCAAGTGATATTTAAGGTTTAGAGTTGATGAAATAAATAAATTGCGCGCCTAAGGAAAAACTCAAAGAGACTTCAAATTATAGGTTTTCTTTCATACTTAACAATTAAATATGAAACACCATTACTATTGACATGTTGTCACGCCTTGTAGAAATCATTTTTCGTCTTTTCTTCTTCTTTTTTTAAAATTATTTGCATTGTCATACTCGCTGCATTCGTGAAGCAAGAGGTTGAACTTGCTTGAACTGAATGACAATTCTTACAGCCGTAATCATAACAGTAAATTGGCACAATCCAACTAAACTGAACAGAATACAGAAGTAAGCGGCGAAAAATTTGCCCAACAGCCTAACGCTGAAATGTTTGAACAATTTTGCGGGAGTTTGCCAATCGTTACTGGTTTGTTGTGCTGATTACTGGCAACATCACAATTAAATAATAAAATAATGCTCCATACCACAGCCTGCTCTAAAACGCTATACAATTGTTTTAGTAAAAGACTAGAAAAGAATAACCCAGAACAAAATGCATTGAAGGCGTATTAGGGAGATCAAGTTTAGTCAGAAAAAATGGATAGAATTAGTTTGATTCACGCCGCTTCATTATCTCTGAAAATAGCTAAATCTGCATTTTAAAAAGTTTTTTTTTGTAAAAAAAAGACCTTTAAGACAACTGCAAAATTTGAAAACAACTTTCTTAGAAAGTGAAAACCTCAAAGTATTGATGCTAAATAAGCAGATAATTAGCAGCAGTAAACGGACCTTTTGCATTCATCTGACAAGCAAATCCAATCTGCATATAATCACAATCTCCTGTGATCCATTTTCCATCAGCTGATCCACCGATCATCATCAGAACGCATTTGCCAATTCCACTAGGGTTACCTGGAAATCATACAATATATGCGATAAAAAATACTACTTTTCAATACTTCAAAACGAAAACTGGTCCCTAGGTATTGTAGTGCGTAACCACGGCCATAGAAGGCTACTCACCAGGATAAAAAGCATTGTAGGGGGCTGGGGCGCCCATGCCATCATCCCATCTGCAATTATTCGGGTCTGCATCCGGACATCTCAATCCTAACCAAATCAAAGTGCCAGATTTTTCGGCCAAATCTTGGATTAGACCATTAGTCTGGAAGGCGAAATGGCCAAACACTGCTTTCAATATAAGGGAATATAATTAAAAGCTAACGAAAGCATTGTGAATAGAAGCCAATCGACCACCATCGTTAAGACATTGAGCGGAAGCGTCAAGATAACTGGAGTGATTGCTATAAACCTGAAACAATGCAACTACCATTGAATATAGATGATCCAAGTTCAAAATTACAGTACCTTATAGCATAAATCATTAGGTCCACCAGTATAGTCGGACGGACAGTCCAGAGCATTTACTGGAAAAAAATATATTATAAAAATTATTTAACATGATAAAGGTCAACTTTCCTAAGTGATGCTCTGGACTGAGAATTTTTAGGGAAAATACTAGGTTTTGAAAGAAAAGCGCTGCGCTTTAGTTTTGGGTCCCTATTATCATCTAAGATCCTCCAAAAAATCAAAAAAAAAAAGGAAAAAGAGCAATTTCTAGTTCTTTTTCGCAAATGATAGACTGCAGAAGCATAGTACAAATGCTACGACCTATGTCGATATGAGAACTGATTCCCATATCGAGATTGTCAGAAGCTTTTTTCTTGTTCAAACAGAAATT